AACTATCATTTTCTTCTACTCAACAGCACAAGGTCCTGTTGGTAGAGACAGGAAGGGGAGAAGAGGCAGTTAGGGGGACCTTGCTGGCTAATTGATGGAGTCCTGTGCAGTCTGTGGAAATGAGACATTGTCATTTGGAGAACATGGTACCATTGGTAACCATACATAAAAACTATGAAACACACAGGAGAACCCATAGAGATGATGAGACAAAGGTTCTGTTTTTATCCTTGGAAGAAAAATTCTTTGAATCAATTGAAAATGCACTCCCATAAGGCAACAAGGTGACCATAAGAAGCGGAACTGCAGCCTTTCTAGGGAAATGACCCTGAGCGACCAGTTGTAACGGCTTTGGGTTCACATTTGAGGAACAGCCACCACACAGAAGGGTGACATGCTGAAAACTAAAATGAGCTGCTTCGAGGCATCGTGGCCCCTTTCCACCCTTCTCCTGTCTGTTCTAACACTGAGATCTCAGTCTCCATAGATGGTCATAGGAGTGGGGTAAACAACCTATATTGCTGCTTTCGGAGGAAATGTTTTAGATGAAACGGTTCAAGATGCTACTTAAAGTCTGGGCAGTGCCCAAGCCAACCTAATTGTCCCGTCTCTGAGGCACAGCAAGGCTTGTGCCATATTGGCAATGTCCTTTCCCAGTGTTAACCTCTATCCCAGTGAGCATATGTGTCTATAGATGTGTAAAGTCTGCAGTTGCCAGGCTGGAACTTTGAAAACACTTTTCCTTTTCTATTCACCCGAAATGAGTGCTTTTATTCAAATTTGCCCATGAAGAACTTTATAACTTCCAAACAAGTCTTTGTTCTATTACAGTTAAATATCACAGATGACACACTCCCCAGGAAGTTGAAGTTTATCAGTAAAATGAATTCTCATTGGCCCCTTTACTGTCACAGGACCTATCAAAAACAGCAATGGTCAGCAAGCTAGCATGCTATCTGCAAGTAATACATGGTCCTGCTCAATAACTCTGAAACAGTCATTTCGTGGGCCCAAGTTTGCCCACTGGAATTTTTGCATTTATTCCTCTAAGTCAGAGAACTTCAGAAGTATCAGGAATAGTGGGATAAGCATGGGACAAGGGTCCCTGAGTTCTGGCTCATTTCTGATGCTATTGTGACATGAGTTGTGTGGTCTTTTACAAGCTGTTTAATCTTTACAAGACCCAGGATTTTCACTGGCACCATATGTCCAGGAGCAGCTTAAGTGTGGTGACAATATATTAATCTTAATATCGCTAGTATCCAAGATGGTAAAAAAAAAAAAAAGAAACCTCCCATTGGGTTTAAAAGCCCTTTGAGGATGTGAAAATGTCTTTCTGCTCATTGTTGTACTCCAGTATCTTGCAAAACAAGCACATATTCTGTACCATAGTATAGACCAATGGTGGCAAACCTACGGCACGTATGTTATTGAGTTTTTTGTTTAAGACAAAAGATGTAACATAGAGTCATTGTTTTCTAAACTAAATCCTCAGTAGTGAGGTTTAATTGCAGCGTTGGCACTTTTGATAAGTAGTGGGTTTTGGGATGAAATTTGGGCACTTGTCTCTAAAAGTTCCCGTCACTGGTGTAGATAATAACGCTATGTTGAGTGAATGAGCAGGGATCATTTTTTGCATGAGTAAAAGATGGATACTAATTTCATCCCTGCCTGTCACAGTGCTGTGGAGAGGATCAAATGAAAATGCATATGTATGCACATCTTGTAGAATGAACAAATTTAAGGTGTTCCTACTGTTACATTTTAAGTAGAACATGCTAATTCTATTGTGTTTGCTCTTAACTGCATTCACAAATATATCAGTGGTATTTTAAATTTTTCCCTATGTTTCTTCTGTTTAGAAAGCAACTGACTAAAAGCTGTTCAGGTCTAAAGAGCTTCATGTACTTTAAACTAGAAATGTATGCTTCTCCATCATGCTTTCCAGTTAATGTTTTAAAAACCCAGTAAAAAGGCCAGACATAGGAAATGGGAGCTTGATGATCCCATTTTACGATTGTATTTTATGATTAGGTTGACTATCACAATAGTTTGCTATATTGGAGAAATAAAGGTTTTCAAAGGATCTGTATCTTTTTGAACATGTTAGGAGTTGTTAGATGCTATCACAAAAGAGCCTTCAGTTTGATGCATGGTGCATATTATCTCAGGGATGTGTACTGGTGTATGGCATTATGACACTTGAACTCCAGGGAGAAATTTGAGTACAGTGCCTGGCCAATGTGTTCCAGCCTTCTCCTGAAGCTGCCTAATGCTTGCTGTGTTTTGACCCCAATTCTCCCAAAGTACATTTCTCCTCTGTCTGTTTCAGAGTCCTCCTGATGCATCATTAAACGTTGGGGCAGCTCCTAGGAGACCATAAAGCTATTACTTTTTGACCCCAACTTCTAAAAAGTGAATAGGACAGCTACTCTTATTAGCCCTATCTTTAATGAAAATATTTAATGAAAATACCATGTAGCTACAATTCCTTATAATAAAAGAAATTCCTGCTGTTGTAGTTTAAACCCATTTTGTTTACTGGCTTGAGAGGAAAAAACCCCAGAAAGCTTGCCGCGATGGCCGGAAAATCTTACATATGCTCGTTCCATTAGGACAAGTCTCCTTGTATTGCACAGATACAGATACAACAAAAGCCAAATTATGTCTCCAAATGTAACATAAAAGAGAGAAATGGTTGTCTCAAGTGTCAAAATAGCAGGGAAGAAGGCTTCCTTGGCTCTTGGATGACTGTTAGATTGCGCCTTGGAATAAATAATGCGAGCTCTTGAACAGCACTGACAGGTCACTTGTGGGCCTCTGGCTCCTTGCCAGACACTCTCAAATCAGACCTCACCTTGAATGGTGCTCGGCAAATCCCAGGATGTGCCTTCCCAGAATACCTCATTCTTCTCAAAACCTGCTGTCACTCAAAACTCTTGTGCTAAGCTGTTGATGTTAAAATATGAGACTGGAAATTGAATGAGTGGATCCTACGGATGTCATGAATGCTTGGGTATTTGAAATCCGGTAGCTCAGACACTGAGCAACATTTCACTTTTCACTCAATAACCTAGGAATCCTATAGATTCTACTGAAGCTCACTTTTAGGAGCTCTTTTTCAGAAGAAAAAGCCCAGATGCTAGGGCGTTTCAGTGCCACGAGATTTGCTAGGTAACTATGCACTTTCACCAGGACTGCTACGCTAATTGCTGGCTAAGTCCTTGAGGGGATGCTGTCTGCGCTGAAACACTTCAGTCATTTACTGGCACGCTCGTCCTTCCTCTTCCCACTTACTTCTTTGCTACATTTTACTTAGACCGTTCGCTGAGGACTGGTGCTGTGCCCTCCGTTTCTCTAAAATTGGTTTTGCTTAAAGCTAATGCCAACAAAATCTATAACACTGACGACAGCTGTCGGAGCTTTTCTTGGATTTAGAAACAGGTAGTGAACAATACATTACACACTACATTGTTTAGACTAGATTCCCATTTGATCAAAGCTTCTAATTTTCCAACTTGAATATCCTATAAAACACATGAGAATTCTTCTTTAGAAGCTATATTCAGCTGAAAGTAACAAAAGCACATAGGACCTATGTATTTAGCAAGTATAATCCATTATATTTTTAAATAGCATCATCTTTCAACAACTTTAGCATCACTTTTGTGGATATAATAGAACATATAAAATATTTCATTACTATTATACTTATATAAAACACAGAGAAACATATACAACTTATGTAATACACAAACATGAGTTAAAGAATAAATTCTACAAGTTTTGAGGTAACATGGAAATGAGATTCCTCCGAATATAAGTGATTTCCAGTATTTCTAGCCCAAATAGTGAGTGAGCCCAAAAGAGCGGGACCACAGATACTAAGGGGGATGGGTGGGGAATGGCAGAGAAGCAAGACTACAGACCCCACACTGCTAAAGAGACGCTGGCATTGTGATTTGTTTTTCATCTCTCCCTATGCTCATCTTCAGATGAGCATACTTACTTCTCTTTCCTTACTTCTCTCTCCTTATTTAAACTACTGTTGGCCTTGACCCTGGTGGGCACCAGTTAGTTACTCTCTAGGTAAATATAACAGGTGGAAGACCCTTAGTTCCACTCTACTAACATTTGAACATTAGAAGAAAAGCCGTGTCTCATTAAATTTGACTTCAGTATATAAGCACTGGGCACCTTGTAGGTATAAAGGACATTGTGATTTCAGCCCAAGCTCCTTTATTTGGATTTTCTATTTACATATTTCTCTTTCCTTGGTTCTATGCCTTATTCTTTGGCTCTTTACAGATTTCCTTTTCTGCTCATTGCTTTTATTACTATCCCTAGAGCAAACCCAATTCACAAATAGTAGCATAATTTAAGTGAAACATTGTACACTTCCAGGAATGTCTTTAGTATCTACCAACTGTTCAGGTAGGTCAAACCACAAAGTAAGCTGAAAAAATGGGGTTACACCAACCTCCATTACCTTATCCTTTTATTTATTAGTTCTGCTGGAGGTAAAGAACATAATTGAGGTAGTAAAGCTTTCTGGCACCTGGGCTATAGCTCAGTGGCACAGCGCCTGACTGGTAAGCATGAGGTCCTAAGTTCGATTCCGGGTACCAAAAAACCAAAAAAACAAAACGTTTTGGTAGAGCATTGCTTCATGGAAGCAACAATATTCTGCAGAAAATAAAGCCAGGCAGGCAGGTAATTAGGAATCCTGCTCTTCCAAACAGTAGGTAACCTTTAGCAAACAACTGCCTCAACCTTTGCTTACCATGATTTATAACTTGGTTCAAATGAAGACAATATGTGACACTAATATCTATCTGTGGGTTAAAGATTGGTAAGAATATATATGCATATATATGTGAAGGGCTAATGTAATAATCCATTATTTACTAGCTGTTCATCAGGTAACATAATTTAGTGATTCTATCACACAAAGAATAAGAAAATCTTTGTTACAAAATTTGTCTGCTCACTTCTTCTAGGTTGCAGAGCTTTTGAAATCGGCATTTACAGGACCTTCTCAATTGGCCTTTCCTACACAGTCCTCTGAATGGGTTTCTGAATGTTTCTTCTACAGTAATGGTTGTGCTCTTCTCCAAAGGCCCCACAATGCTCTGGGAAAGCATTCTTAAGCATTCTCTTCCAGTGCTACAAGAATTGTGGGGAGCAGAAGATAATCAGAAGTATGAGAATGTTTTCTACAATGGCGAGGCCCCCAAAGAGCGTCAAACAGGAAAAATAGACATATCCTCTTCATGTCTTCACCTAGACGTTGCTTGTGAATTAGGCACAGAAGCAAGCAGAGGTATCTATCATGGGCTGTGATGAGCAGATGTGTGCCTACTGAACATCCAATAGGGGTTTTTCCCATTCCACTGAATGAATCTACTCAGAAATATTGGAGAGTCTATGTTCAAAGAAATGTATATAGCTGGCACAACTGTACTGCTGATGTCTGGTGGTTTATTGAGTTAATGCTTAAATTTTTTTTATATATTATGACCAATTCTGCATGCTTATATCTGGTAATCCGAGCAGTTTATGTGAAGACAACAATACGCAGTATAACAACCATTGGTGAATTCCTACCATCTTGTCTAGTGAAACTCTGTATGGTCTCTAATGTTCTTTTAAATTATTATTTTCTTATTCCCTTTAATGGTTTGATCAGTCCTCCATTCTTACATCTGGTAATCTGAGCAACTTCGTTGAAGATAACAATATGTAGTATAACCACCACTGTTAATCCCTATCATTTGGTTTGAAACCCTGTACCATTTTTAATGCCCTTGCTTTGTTTTGCTTGTATTTTGCTACTGTTCTTTTTTTTTTCTTTTCACTATTTTCTTTTAAAAAAATGGAAAAAGAAATAAAGAAATGTAGACTCTTGCTAAAGAGTCACTTCCAAGCTGGGCATGGTGGAACAAGATCATGATCCCAACACTCTGGGAGGCTGAAGCAGAAGGTTTACAAATTCCAGTCCAACCTGGGCAGCTCAGCAAGACCATGTCTCAAAATAAAAAAATAAAAAAGACTGGTAATGTAGGCTAGTGTGAATACCCAGTACCTCACAAAAGAAAAAAAAAGTCACTCTATTAATAGCACAATTCTGTTTACATATGAAGTTCTGTTAATCAGTTCATAACTTTGTCAATAGTTCCCTTAAAATCTTTGAGTTTGTAACTCTGAGAGGAATCCTATAAAGATATTTTGAAAATCAAATCTTTTTATTACTTTACCCATTTAAAGATCCATTTAGTAATATTTCTTTCTCAGAAAACTTCACTCTTTTGCCCCTTAACCTTCCTTTGCTAGGGCTAGAGAATACAAAAACATCTCTTACAAACACCTTTAAGAATTCCTTCACTGAAAAAGTCCACAGTGCAGACCAAACATAGAACATGCAGGAAGGAATAGTCGCTCAGTATTTCAGGTCCTTTGCCCGATTTTTGTTCAAATACATTGTGACCAAGTAGCCTCCACTTATTTTCATGCATATATACATATTTATACACATATTTATACACATATATCTACTTAAATGTGTATATTTCACAACATGGAATGGCAACATATCCAATGCTTAGATTCTGTGCAAACATATACCCCTTCCCGTGAAGGAAACATATTAATATTACCAAAACAAACCATGGAGGGTAACATGCAGGGACTGAGGGCAGGAGAGCAGAGCTGGGCGGGGAAATGGGGAGGAAACAAAGAACGTAAAGAACGAAAAGTGTCATTGACCTGATTTGTCAGAGCTGTTGCCTGTGAGTGGAGTGATGGCGCAGCTGGGATTAGCCTTTGCGCTGTCCTTGGAAGAAACCATTTTGGGTTTACTTTTCGTTGCCTCTAGTGCTTTGACCTTCTTGGCATGTTTACTTCCTTTGTAGTGGGCCTCGGCCTGGCTCTACAAAGGAGAACAAATCAGGCTCATTTTTTGCTACTTAAAAAACATCACAATGGATGCTCATGCAGGGAAAAAATACATTCAATCATAGGCACCACAGACATTTACAACTCAGCACTTGACTAGGTTTTTGGCATTTAATGAAGTGGTAGACCAGCAGCTGCAAAGTTCTAGCATATCGGACCCTTCTATACAACATTAGACGTTACGTGATTGGACAACAGAATTACTGCGAAATAGTGATAAAGGCGAGCTTTGTCATCAGTGCCCTCCCTCCACTGGCAATCTGGGTTACTTTTCAGACATTTGTCTGGCAGCAGCTGCTTTGGCTGTCCTGCCCCTGCATGCAGACAGTGGGGCGATGACCTTCCACACACATTTGCCTTCGTCAGAAAACCTTCCTGCCTTGTGTCTAATTTTCTCTGAGGTCTGCTCTGAGACCAACTGGTGTAACAAGACAGCATGTTGAGTAGAAATGACACTACATTTTAGAGACATCTACATGTCCTTCATGCACCATTTTGATGATTCCACGTCCAAGAATTATGTAACGTGTGCCCCAAAGGAAGTGGGGATCTTATCTCAGACGTGACACTGAAGTCAAAGCAGTTAGTGTTAGATTTATTTATACGCAAAGCTTATGTACAACTGTGACTTCAACACTAGGTCAGAAGGAGAAAAAGAACAAGACAAAAGACAAAACAAATTACAATAAGCTTAGAAAACATTAATCATTTTCCTGACACTTGGAAAATGCCCCCTCTGCCTAGACAAGGTTTCAATTTTTTTTCTTGGTCTGGAAATTGAACTCAGGACCTTGCACCTTGCGCTTGCCAGGCAGGCACTGTGCCACTTGTCCTATGGGACAAGCCCAAGGTTTTAATTTTTTAGGTGTCCAGTATTAATATATACAAGAACAAAAAAACCTAAACAAACCCACTTGAATATCATCTTGAATAGACTGAAGAAAACATAAACATGCATTTGGTTAACGACAAAATAAGATAAAACATATACGATATATTGCCTTAGTTCTAAAAGTGAAATGGGTGATAAATCTGACATAAAATGAGATGACATTTGGGTAGAAACTTTCTAAGGTAATGGTAATTTTTATCATCATTTTATATCAGGTTTTTTTTTTTTTTTTTTTGTCTTTTTCAGACAGGGTCTTGTTATGTAGTTCAGGCGGGCCTTAAGCTCACTTTGAAGCCTAGGCTGGTCTCAAACTCACACTGATCCTCCTGCCTCAGCCTCCTGAGTGCTGAGATTACAGGCTTGTGCCACCATGCCCAGCTATATCGTGTTCTTTACTTGGTTGTATACGTTTGAAGATGGTGCAGCCAGGGAAACCCCACACATACAAACATGAGGTAACAGGTGTAGTGTGGAGCCAGACATGTGCAAAGGTGAGTTAAAACAGCAAACACATATGCTATGGGACAAGCAGAACAAGAATAAAAGGAACCAAAGAGGAGCATATTATTGAAGAATTCTGAGTAAGACTGAAGAAAAGGGCACACATGGATTGGTAGAAAAAGGTATATTTTTGGTGGGAGAATTTGGGTCTGCAGAAAGGATTGATATTCCAGGGCCAGAACCCAAGTGCATGTGGCTAGGGAGGGGTTTATACAGGCCCCTTGGTAGAATATCTTTAACAAGAGGCCAAGGAAACCGATGGGCTGCCTGTGGAGCAAGCTACCACCGAGATGAAATTCTCAAGCAACTATGTTGATATAAATTTCACATTGGGAGGATTTCTACAAAAGCTACTTACTAGATGTGTTTTGGTTGAATATGAGAGAAAAGAGAAAGGCAGCAGGGGGAACAGATGATTCTTCCAGTAAAACCATGAGTGGGGAGTGTGACTATGACAAGAATTCCTAGTTATGATACAATTATTGATTTCCCGGTTTTTATTAATCCTGCTACCCACTGCTTAAAAGGAACCATTACACGGCTCACTACCAGGGACAAAGCACAGCTTCCGCATGCCGGCAGTGGACTAAGCCCTCTCAGGCTGATTTCCGGGGGTTGCTGGATGTTTGCAGACTTCCCGATTTGCTTCATTCCAGCTCACCAGGCACACATTGTTTTGCTTCCTTCGGACAGCTAGTCACACTCGATTCAGCAAAGGCGGTGACGGTGGGCATCGCTTCAGTGCCGTGTCACTCCCAATGCTGGTGGGGAGTAAACTCACCCCGAGCGCATGACCGGTGCTCATGAGGTGTTCACGGCAAACAGGATGGTGGATGCAACTGTGTCAAGGGTCAAGCGCTGAGTTAAACATTGTGTTTATGCATTTGCTGTCCCCTCAGAACGGGAGCTTCATATCATAGTCCGATTTCCGATGACCATTCATTTTGCTGTGTTATTTTATGTGCGATGGTAGGTGGAAAACAGTGCAATGCCTTGGTAGGACTGTAACCTAGAGATAGGTTTTATTTGTGTATTACAACTAAAGATGCATCTGCAATTTCCCTAGTTTATAACCTCTGTCACCTGTGGTCTATAATTATGTTCTGATAGTACGTTGCCCCTAATTTCCTTAATATCTTTGGAGAACTAGCTTTTTAAATCTTCACTGACTTGTGATTGCTCTTACTTAGTTTGCTCAGGGACTTCTTGCATTGTTCTCTGGCAAGGGTGAAAAAAATAATCCCAAGGAAGCTAAAAGTATAATATTGTAAGTCTTTTATTTTTTGACCAGGAATGGTTAAATTGAGGTAATACAGTTGGGTACTTATAAATTGAGAATATAAACAAATCAAAATTTAAAAATTGATATGTAAAGTGAGAATAATAATAATGAATGTTACCAGCACTATTTTAGGCACTCATTGAATTGCCATAACAGCCTATGATATGGCCATCATTACTAGCCAAATGAGAAATTAGGCATAAGAAGTTACATAACATGTCAAAAGTCACACAAGCCCAGCATGGGGAGGCTGAAGCAGGAGGATAACTGAGAGTTCGAGGCTAGCCTGAGCTACATAGTGAGTAATCACACAAACAGGTAGAGAAGCCATTTAATAGATATGAAATGCTCACATGTGTATCCTTGTTCAATTATATGTGCACACATTATACAAATACCCATAGTAAATTAACACTGTAATTTTATCAGAGGTGAACAATTTCACACAGAGAAAGCACACTGCTTGTAATAATTCAGTGAAATATTATACCTTAAAACTACAGAAATCTCTACAAGTAGGAACTATCTACTCGAGTTGTGAAAAATATATTAGCATAATACATTCAATTTGATCTGGTAAGTAGCTAAGAAAGTGTCACTTTTTAGATATAGAACAATTTTTATAAGATACCAGGACACCTCTTAAAAGCTCATCTTTCCAAGTACATTAAAGAGTGCGATGCTACTGTAGTGCTCCTTTGGCTAAAGGAGCGTGATTCTCTCGTACGAGATAAGGAGAGTGTGATTTCCTCTTACTATTTCCTGGCATCCCTGCTGAAAGTTAACAGCATCAATTAGCACTTGAGATAAAGTTCCAACTAAGTGAACACTTCACCGGATGCCAAGATGGAAAGAACTCTCGAGAGCTGTGATCGATTTTCTCTTTGAGTTCTGTTGGAGAGGAGGACACAAGGATGCTTAGCTTGCACTGACTGCTTGGGAAAAGTGGAGTGGAAGACAGCGGAGTGAAGACCGAGTGACAGGCACCACTCACTCCCATCTGACATCTTTCCAGTTCCCCTGTGATATTCTTGGCGATGGCCCTTTGCTGTCCTCAGTACTGTATCTGAGGCCGTGTCAACAGTTTTTCCCTCCCGGGCAACTCTTCAAGTGAAACCGAGACACTGTTAAATAGCTGCGAGGCTAACCTGACTTCATTATCTGGGATCTCCTTAATTGAGGAATGAAAGAAGCAAGGAAAGGAGCCAGAAAATCCACAGACACAATCACGCTTAACCAACAATCGTTCTTGTATCACCTTGGTTGGCCAAACCGGCCAACTTTACACACCACTGACTCATCAGCACACACATGCTTGTCCAGCAGCAGCCACTGGTCTTCTGTTTCCTCCTAAAGCACTGCCATGTTCTGGCAGTCACCGAAGAAACATCTGGGAAGAATTTCAGAATTAGGGTTAGGGAAGTAGCTCAGTGGGAGAGTGCATGCTTTGCATCTGGGAGGCCCTGGGTGTGGTTACCAGCACCCCAAAAGGGGAAGGAAAAAGTTCCTATATAGAATTGTGAAAATTAGAAAAAGTTGCCGGAACCACTGTCCTGACCTTCACATAAGAATGCATGGGCTGTGTAAGATGGTGCATGCCTGTAATCCTAGCTACTGGGGAGGCTGAGGCAGGAGGATTGAGAGTTGGAAAGCAGTTTGGGTAACTTAGTGAGACACTGCTAGCATACATGAAGCATCTTAGAACCTTTTCTTCTCTTAATTAGCTTTATTTCTAAAGCCCTTTCCCTTCCCACATCTTCTATATTTCTCAGATGCCTGCTGGTTCAAACACAAAGGTAAAGAATAAAATAAAGTATTGCTTGAAAAATAAAAAGGTAATGAAGTATTCCCAATGAGAAGTTCTAAAGCTCACTGGACTCTCCTTTATGGTGTTTACTTAATTTCTAATTTTTACTTGAGAGAGAAAGCTAGCATCTTCAATCAGGACTTTAAAATGTGTTCACTTTGTAGTGGAAGGAAGACTCTGAACCCAAATTTATAAAGTGGTTGGCCAAAGGCAATGACCCTGGAGAAAGTACCTATTTACCAAAAGAACCAATCATTTTACATTTTAAGAAGTAATTAAAACTATTCCCTTAATTAAAAAAAGTTTTTTTTTTTTTTTTTTTGTCTTTTTGAGACAGGGTCTCACTGTGTAGTTCAGACTGATCTTGAGCTCACTTTGTAGCCCAGGCTGGCCTCGAACTCGCAACGATCCTCCCGCCTCAGCCTCCCAAGTGCTGGGGTTACAGGTGTGCGCCACCACGCCTGGCTCAAGAAAGTATATCTTGAAAGCTCC